GATTGGCTAGTGATGGCTTTTGCCCCTTCAGCTTTAAGGGCAATCCCCACAGCACATGGCCCGTTGTGATGATGATTTATAACCTCTCACCGTGGTTGGCTATGGACCAATCATATTTCATGATGCCTCTTCTTATTGATGGTCCAAAGTCACCGGGAAACAATATTGATGTCTATCTTCGACCTCTTATCGAAGAGTTAAAGTCTTTATTCATTGATGGTGTGGATACATACGATGCAGACACGGGGACAAACTTCACCATGCGTGTAGCCTTAATGTGGACAATCAATGATTTTCCCGCGTATGGAATGCTATCTGGTTGGTCTGTACATGGTTATACTGCATGTCCTTACTGTCATCTCCAGACAACATCGAAAAGACTACCCTTTAGCAAAAAGACTTGTTATTGCGGCCATCGGCGCATGTTGGATGAAAATCATCCGTACAGAGATGATATCATCCACTTTGATGGTACTAAAGAGAATCGCCCGCGTCCAGACCCATTATCCGGAGAGGATATACTTGCTCAGTGGAATGGTAAAAACAATGTGACTTTTGGAAAAATAAAGGGAAGGCAAGAAACACCACAGGGATGGAACAAGAAAAGTATCTTCTTCGAACTACCCTACTGGAAGACAAATAAAGTGCGGCACAATCTAGACGTCATGCACATTGAGAAGGGAGTATCTGAGCACATACTTAACTTACTTCTCTGTAAAGATGGAAAATCAAAAGATAACCTTAAAGCTCGAAGGGATCTGCAGGCGTGGAACATTAGAAAAGAGTTGCATCCTATACCGAAGGTAGACAATCCTGACCAATTTGTACTCCCCAATGCTGTGTATCATATGTCACCAGATGAAAAGAAAAAGTTTCTTCAGGTGTTACATGAGTTGAAGGTTCCTACGGGGTTTTCAGGATCATTTAGTAAGAAGATAAAGATTGTTAAAGGCAAGATCGAAGGGTTGAAGAGTCATGATCACCATATTATTATGGAGCATCTTCTTCCACTCTCTCTCAGAACTTCTCTCCCTAAATCAGTCGGTTTAGTGATCAATGATTTTTGCAGATTCTTTCGGGAATTGTGTGCTAAAAACATCGAGGATGATAAGTTGAAGAAGCTAGAGGCTGAAATTCCCTTAATTTTGTGCAAGCTTGAGCGGATTTTTCCACCATCATTCTTTGATATCATTATACACCTGACTGTTCATCTTGCAACCGAGGCTAGGCTTGCCGGACCAGTACAATATCGATGGATGTACCCCATCGAAAGGTACTTTTAGTTTTATAGTTAACGTAATCGATATATTTTTATTTTATATCTTGGATGTGGTGATTTAGTGTAAGCTTTTGTAGGTACCTTCTCACTCTGAAAAATTATATTCGCAATAGAAATCGACCAGAGGGTTCTATTATGGAAGGTTATCTGCTAGAGGAAGTAACCACTTTTTGTTCCCGTTATCTGGATGAAGACATTGAGACAAAACTCAACAGACCTCTTGTGATTCATGACGGACCATCAAAAAAGCCAGATTATAATAGAATGAATCTCGCATTTATCAACAAGATTCATCGCTTTATCATTCTCAATATCGAATGCCTTGGAGAAGTTAGAGAGTATGTCTATTTCACATAATGCTATATATGTTTACTACACCCAAATATACTTCTCACATTACCTACTATTTTTTGACATTAGAATACACAAGGATGAAATACGTGCAATGCATAGTAATTGGAATGAGGCACGAGTTGAAACACATCATCAGGACAATTTTTGCAATTGGTTTAAACATTATGTAAGATTTCTATTTTCTTATTTTTTGACTTATTCATTCAATTTAATCTAACATCTTTATGTAATTGCCGTATTGACCTTTTTGCCAGAGCCGATTACCGACTGTAGAATCGATATTAGATAAGGATCTTGGATATTTGGCTACACTTCCAGATGCTGAAGTTAAATACTATAAAGGATTCGGTGTTGGCGGTTACAAGTTTGAAATCAAGTCTATAGAAGAATCTCGAACCACCCAAAATAGTGGAATTGCAACCGTAGGCACTAATGACGAGATATACTATGGGTACCTTGATAACATACTTGGTATCAACTATCTAGGTCGAGCAGGATGCATTTATGTCTTTCAATGTGTTTGGTATGATATGAAGACTGGAACTGGTAAGTGGAGAGACAATTACGGGACTTGGGTAGATGAATATGGATTGACGAGTGTAAACACCACACGCTTTTCCTATGAGGACGATCCATTTATATTTCCAGAACAAGCATTTCAAGTATACTACTCGAAGTGCTTGAGGCATTCGGGGTGGAGTGTTGTATGTCGATGGAGGCCCAGGGATACTTACGATGTCCCACAGTTCATAGATTCAGAGGTCGTCGAGGTCAACGATGACGAAGAATTTGAGCAGGGAGGGGTTGTATGTCAAGATAAATCTCCTGAATATGATAAAATTTCATGGGTTAGGAATGATTTGAATAGTGAAATACTTGTAGATATTCCTACAACTTCTAGGGAATCTGTAGAACCTAACATTTCTGTAAAGCGAAAAAGGTAACCTTTATCAAAAGCATGTTGTTTAAAATTATATATTCAACTTGATAAATATGTCTATTTCACATATATCTTATATGAAATGTAAAATTCTTTATAGGGCTTGACGAATATGTCTGGAGTTCCATCACGGAGCAAATCGCGTAGACTACTACAGCGCGGAGACCTGCAGCGTCAGGTGAGAGAGCGTAGGAGAGAACTTGAATCTGCTGTAGATACACAGCGCGAAGACCGGCAGCGTCAGGTGAGAGAGCCTAGGAGAGAACTTGAATCTGCTCATGTTGCTACCGCCATACCTAGCATTGGGGAGTCTACTCCAGTTAGAGGTAACTATTTATTTTTCTTTTGATTCTGTTTTAACATGACACCTAATCTTTATCCTTTACATATAAAAATCTAGTCAGTTGCAACAATGTTTTTTTATTTGCAATCTATCTCCTACACAGATATAGACGCAAATCAACAAACACCTACACAAGAAAATGATTTACAGACAACTCCCCCTTCACACTCCATACCTTCTGGACAATCGTCAGGTCAGTATCTTTCTTCATTATCTTTTGGTGATTAATGTGCTTTTTGCTAAGAAATGCTTACATAATGCTTCTATCTCTTACATAATTTTGAAAGACTTCTTTACAAGTTCACGTAATATTAGCATCCCAATTTTGTCATGTAATCATCTTACCCACACATGTGCACCGGTTAAAAATTTTGTCATGGGGCGGTTCCCTCGCAAACCATGAAAAAAATCCTATTTTAAGTTGGGAAAGCAACATATTGAATAGCAATTTCTATTTTACAGTTCTCGGAGTAAAAACAACATAATATAGAAATAAACGCAATACCGTTTGACATTCATAACAATATTCTGGACATAGCTGGACATTCAACGACATCCACACAACATAAAAGCAAACTTCTGAAGATTCACACACTACTTGTACCCATTAAGCCTCTAAATTTCAGTTGAAGATGCTGCCCTATCATAAAACTTTGAAAGTAATATTGCTAGAAAATCAAGAAATCCACACAAATGAGAGAGAAATACAAACTAGACACTAATCGAATGCAAATAAACAACTAATCCCACAACATGCACAATCCACCACTATATCAGATGTTCAACCACTTGCATCCCATACATATGACAGGAAACATGCAAGGACTCTTGTAGCTCCCATTGCTAACATCAGGGGTGCTTTCTATGCAAACTACAAACCTAATGAGAGCTGAAGCAAGAATATTAGATGGACTCATTTCACCTGACAAAGAAAATGCATCATTGCCTCATGCACCTTTAAGAAGAGCTGACTCGCGATACGCTATTTAGAGGGAAGATCACAATTTAAAACGTATAAGAATGACCAGTTATTCAAATAGTTGACTCTTTTTTCCCTCTTTTTCATGCTTGTTGGGTGCGGATCAGTAGGCATGTCTTTAGATGTTGACACTTGCAGAGGGTATATGGGATCAATAACTGACCCATATTGTGTTTATTGGCCCTACTTCCTACTCGAAACAATACCGTACAGAGAATTAAAAGGACAAGGGAAATCTGCGCTGAATGTATATTACACTGTAATGTATTGAAATTACTTTAGCCTATCCAAAAAACCATAAATTTATGTCTAAAACAGGTAAAAATATTCTCTTAGCTGTGTGTATCAAGATGGCTTATGCCTTCGCTAGTTGGTGCTTTTCCTGTAATTTTTTTCATGGTTTGCGAGGGAACCGCCCCATGACAAAATTTTTAACCGGTGCACATGTGTGGGTAAGATGATTACATGACAAAATTGGGATGCTAATATTACGTGAACTTGTAAAGAAGTCTTTCAAAATTATGTAAGAGATAGAAGCATTATGTAAGCATTTCTTAGCAAAAAGCACATTAATCACCAAAAGATAATGAAGAAGATACTGACCTGACGATTGTCCAGAAGGTATGGAGTGTGAAGGGGGAGTTGTCTGTAAATCATTTTCTTGTGTAGGTGTTTGTTGATTTGCGTCTATATCTGTGTAGGAGATAGATTGCAAATAAAAAAACATTGTTGCAACTGACTAGATTTTTATATGTAAAGGATAAAGATTAGGTGTCATGTTAAAACAGAATCAAAAGAAAAATAAATAGTTACCTCTAACTGGAGTAGACTCCCCAATGCTAGGTATGGCGGTAGCAACATGAGCAGATTCAAGTTCTCTCCTAGGCTCTCTCACCTGACGCTGCCGGTCTTCGCGCTGTGTATCTACAGCAGATTCAAGTTCTCTCCTACGCTCTCTCACCTGACGCTGCAGGTCTCCGCGCTGTAGTAGTCTACGCGATTTGCTCCGTGATGGAACTCCAGACATATTCGTCAAGCCCTATAAAGAATTTTACATTTCATATAAGATATATGTGAAATAGACATATTTATCAAGTTGAATATATAATTTTAAACAACATGCTTTTGATAAAGGTTACCTTTTTCGCTTTACAGAAATGTTAGGTTCTACAGATTCCCTAGAAGTTGTAGGAATATCTACAAGTATTTCACTATTCAAATCATTCCTAACCCATGAAATTTTATCATATTCAGGAGATTTATCTTGACATACAACCCCTCCCTGCTCAAATTCTTCGTCATCGTTGACCTCGACGACCTCTGAATCTATGAACTGTGGGACATCGTAAGTATCCCTGGGCCTCCATCGACATACAACACTCCACCCCGAATGCCTCAAGCACTTCGAGTAGTATACTTGAAATGCTTGTTCTGGAAATATAAATGGATCATCCTCAAAGGAAAAATGTGTGGTGTTTACACTCGTCAATCCATATTCATCTACCCAAGTCCCGTAATTGTCTCTCCACTTACCAGTTCCAGTCTTCATATCATACCAAACACACTGAAAGACATAAATGCATCCTGCTCGTCCTAGATAGTTGATACCAAGTATGTTATCAAGGTACCCATAGTATATCTCGTCATTAGTGCCTACGGTTGCAATTCCACTATTTTGGGTGGTTCGAGATTCTTCTATAGACTTGATTTCAAACTTGTAACCGCCAACACCGAATCCTTTATAGTATTTAACTTCAGCATCTGGAAGTGTAGCCAAATATCCAAGATCCTTATCTAATATCGATTCTACAGTCGGTAATCGGCTCTGGCAAAAAGGTCAATATGACAATTACATAAAGATGTTAGATTAAATTGAATGAATAAGTCAAAAAATAAGAAAATAGAAATCTTACATAATGTTTAAACCAATTGCAAAAATTATCTTGATGATGTGTTTCAACTCGTGCCTCATTCCAATTACTATGCATTGCACGTATTTCATCCTTGTGTATTCTAATGTCAAAAAATAGTAGGTAATGTGAGAAGTATATTTGGGTGTAGTAAACATATATAGCATTATGTGAAATAGACATACTCTCTAACTTCTCCAAGGCATTCGATATTGAGAATGATAAAGCGATGAATCTTGTTGATAAATGCGAGATTCATTCTATTATAATCTGGCTTTTTTGATGGTCCGTCATGAATCACAAGAGGTCTGTTGAGTTTTGTCTCAATGTCTTCATCCAGATAACGGGAACAAAAAGTGGTTACTTCCTCTAGCAGATAACCTTCCATAATAGAACCCTCTGGTCGATTTCTATTGCGAATATAATTTTTCAGAGTGAGAAGGTACCTACAAAAGCTTACACTAAATCACCACATCCAAGATATAAAATAAAAATATATCGATTACGTTAACTATAAAACTAAAAGTACCTTTCGATGGGGTACATCCATCGATATTGTACTGGTCCGGCAAGCCTAGCCTCGGTTGCAAGATGAACAGTCAGGTGTATAATGATATCAAAGAATGATGGTGGAAAAATCCGCTCAAGCTTGCACAAAATTAAGGGAATTTCAGCCTCTAGCTTCTTCAACTTATCATCCTCGATGTTTTTAGCACACAATTCCCGAAAGAATCTGCAAAAATCATTGATCACTAAACCGACTGATTTAGGGAGAGAAGTTCTGAGAGAGAGTGGAAGAAGATGCTCCATAATAATATGGTGATCATGACTCTTCAACCCTTCGATCTTGCCTTTAACAATCTTTATCTTCTTACTAAATGATCCTGAAAACCCCGTAGGAACCTTCAACTCATGTAACACCTGAAGAAACTTTTTCTTTTCATCTAGTGACATGTGATACACAGCATTAGGGAGTACAAATTGGTCAGGATTGCCTGCCTTCGGTATAGGATGCAACTCTTTTCTAATGTTCCACGCCTGCAGATCCCTTCGAGCTTTAAGGTTATCTTTTGATTTTCCATCTTTACAGAGAAGTAAGTTAAGTATGTGCTCAGATACTCCCTTCTCAATGTGCATGACGTCTAGATTGTGCCGCACTTTATTTGTCTTCCAGTAGGGTAGTTCGAAGAAGATACTTTTCTTGTTCCATCCCTGTGGTGTTTCTTGCCTTCCCTTTATTTTTCCAAAAGTCACATTGTTTTTACCATTCCACTGAGCAAGTATATCCTCTCCGGATAATGGGTCTGGACGCGGGCGATTCTCTTTAGTACCATCAAAGTGGATGATATCATCTCTGTACGGATGATTTTCATCCAACATGCGCCGATGGCCGCAATAACAAGTCTTTTTGCTAAAGGGTAGTCTTTTCGATGTTGTCTGGAGATGACAGTAAGGACATGCAGTATAACCATGTACAGACCAACCAGATAGCATTCCATACGCGGGAAAATCATTGATTGTCCACATTAAGGCTACACGCATGGTGAAGTTTGTCCCCGTGTCTGCATCGTATGTATCCACACCATCAATGAATAAAGACTTTAACTCTTCGATAAGAGGTCGAAGATAGACATCAATATTGTTTCCCGGTGACTTTGGACCATCAATAAGAAGAGGCATCATGAAATATGATTGGTCCATAGCCAACCACGGTGAGAGGTTATAAATCATCATCACAACGGGCCATGTGCTGTGGGGATTGCCCTTAAAGCTGAAGGGGCAAAAGCCATCACTAGCCAATCCCAGCCTGATATTACGAGGTTCCTGACTAAATGTTGGGTGCCTACTGTCAAAATCCTTCCATGCAGGCGTATCTCTAGGATGACTCATTCGTCCATTTTCACTTGGACGTGCACGGTGATGCCAAGTCATCGCCACCGCTGTCTTCTTACACTTGAATAGCCTCTGCAGCCTCTGTGTAATGGGAAAGTATCGTACTAACTTGATAGGTATATCCTTCTTTTGACCATGTACTTTCTTCTTATATCTAGCCTCTCCGCAAGTAGGACACTCCGTATTATCTGAATTTTCTTTCCAATAAATTATACAATCATTAGGACATGCGTGTATCATCTCACACTTTAGACCCAGATTAGACATTATCTTTTGAGCTTCGTACCAGTTATCAGGCACATGGTTCCCCGGAGGCATAGAATCTTTAAGAAACTTGAGGAGCATTGTAAATGACTTGTTGCTCCATTTATTTAGACATTTAATTTGGAATAGATGGACAAACCATGACAGCGTGGAGTGTTTTGCATTCTCATAAATGGGCCTCTTAGCATCATTCATGTACTTATCATAATTGTCTTCACGATGCCCTCCGAAAGGAGGATCTTCAGCAGGGCTAGTGTTACCAAGAGCTACCTCAACCATTTCCTCCATTTCTTCATCAAGAAATAAGTTGTCATCTTCTTGTTCTTCTTCATCTGCATCACTGAGACCTTCAATTTGTCCATGATATACCCAAGTTTTGTAATCGCTAACAAAACCATTCTTCACAATGTGAAGTTCTACTTCTTCCTCCAATTGATGCAACCTATTCGCGCATAATTTACATGGACAAATGAGTCTCCCATGGCGGACCATATCGTGTCTACGTACAAAGTCCATGAAAGCACCAACTCCATTAACGAAAATAGATTGCATGCGTTCTGCACGACCCACGTACATCCAATCTTTATCTCTGATGTAGTTACGGGCCATGATAACCTAAATAAAATAATTTATTAGTAACGACTTATAAAAACATGGATTTAGGAATAAGCTAAGCTTGATCATTACTTTGCTTTGAATATAGGGTTACAATTAAAATGTAAGATAAACTAAAGACTCTTATAACTCTAAACCAATCCAGATAAAGGCATTGCATTCTCCTTTAATAGTCTCTCTTGAACTAAAGACTCTTTTGCACGCAGACACAAACACCCCATTCAGTAGAACTCACTCTTTGCTAAGTGCTTTCTCAACCGAGCTTCACATATTCAAGAAACTTCCCTAAAAATGAGAAATTAAGTAATTCACGAGTGTTTTTTGACATATACCATTAATATCAATGTTATAACATTCCTAAATTTTGTACCGCTAAGCAAAAGAAACATTCCTTTTTTTTGATAAATGTTGGAGAGCAAGGAGTTAGAACATTCCTAAATTTTGTATGGCTAAGCAAAAGAAACATTACTTTCATGGAGTAATAGTTTGCATAAATTTGAAATAAGCATTCCTGGCATGAAGAACGACGAAATCATACAGAAAATATTTGCATAGAAGCAGGCGCTGAATTTGGGTGTATCATTCGCAACAAAGATCAGTGAGGAAGGTCACTTTTGAGGTTAATGAAACCTCCCAGGGAAGTAAAATGTATTTGACAAGACATGTACTGAAGATAAGGTGAATACGGTGAAGACAGATCAAATGTTTCAAAATATCATCAGACTAGTGTACAATAGTATATGCCAGAAAACAATAAAGATTTTATAATAGTGACATGATAAATGTGATGGACTAAGTAGAAGTCAACAATTTTATAGAATTATCGCAGAGACAACAGAACAAGAAAACTCTCACACAAAAAGACATGAAAAATGCAAGTACTCCAACAAACTCATGGTTAAAACTAATCATTCTAATATATCAAGCACTTTTCAGTTTGATAGGTTAAAACTAATCATTCTAACATATCCAATTATCTGATATAAATATGCTATTGCCAAATCATTCTCCATGTGACATATCTCACTGGAGGAATAGCTAGTTACACCAACAAAGCATTGGCCTATCAAGCCTAACAGATTAATTATTAGCTACCATATCACTGACACAAAAATAAACACGTCAAGAATAAATCCATGGTAGGTGGAAAGAAAGTTGGATTAAACTAAAAGGAAAGTAGAAGAAGAGGAAGCACATGGAGTGTTACATTCTTTTACGGATACATCATCACCATCACCAAACTCCAAAAGAACAGAAAAACAAAGTGGTACATACCATACAAATACATGTTAAGCAAACTGCAAGCACCATGTCCCTGCTTACCATCTCAGACTTGGAGGTCTTTGCTGGGATTTTTCTGCATGACTTGTAGTTGGTTGATATGTGATTATGGTAAATTTCAAAGAACTCTAGGTATCGATGATATACTGGTGTAGCCGAAGGCATATACACCACACAACAGCAGCAACAATATAAATTAGCATTCTATATATCTCAATGATGTAAGTTAACATAATAATATCTAATATGAGGGTAGGATCTCTAACGAACACAAATTAATTAGGTTTAGGGTTTTGTTGAGAGTAGATAATTACAGAGGATAAAGGGCCGACTTGAGCAGGAGGCGGTGGAGGCGGAGGAGCAACACGACCCGAACCTATGAATTGGCGAAGGCCAACGCTGCGGAGGAATCGATGGATGCGGAGGAGGAGACGGCGGAGGATCGACAGCGGCGCAAAGATGAGGCGGAGGTGCTTCCGGCGAAGATGAGGCAGAGGCGGAGGCGTCAGCGATCGGGAGTAGATATGAAGGAGGTGGAGGCGAAGATCACAATTAGATGAGGCTGGTGAATTTTGGGGATCGATCAAATACTTTTGGGGGACGCGCGGGTGAATTTTGGGGGACGCGCGGGCGATTTTCGGCGATTTTCGGCGAAGATGTTTCAACCCGCGGGTGAAGTTTGGGGGGCGCGGGTCCTAAAAAGTAAAATGGCAATTTTTTTTTACCCTAGCATCCTGCTGCTCCCAAACGGTTGTAACCCGTTTGGATTGAAATATCCAAACAGTTTAACCCGTTTGGGAGAGCCGTTTGGGATTATCTAATAGCCCAAACAGTTGTACCCGTTTGGAATAAGTAACCCAAACGGTTGTACCCGTTTGGGCTATTTCGATTTGCCCAAACGGTTCTAATAACCGTTTGGGCAGCCCAGTTTTGTACTAGTGTATGGTGTTTGCACGCTAGCTGCGGAATTTAATTTGCTTTTGCTTCATCCTCAACTTTGGCATCGTGTAAGTAACTTGTTAAACGAAAATGCTGCAATTAATATGCTTCGCGATCCATATATATATATGTATATCCAAATCACGTACACCCTTAATTTTTATTAATAATAAGCCGTGCACGATGGAACTTAATTTACAATAATTAATAATATTTAATTACACAAACGAACATTATTTGTGTGAATTGAATGTATATGCATTTATATATATAGATGTACGTCAAGAATATGCCTCAAACCAATAAATATTACGAATGAAAAGAGAGATTAATTAGCTAATTAAGCTTGCTTCATCAGGTGGGGTGTGACCTCAAAGCCCCCTTCCTCTCTCTTCTCAACTGTAAAGGGCAAGTAAGTCCCCATCAGCTTGTCCCAACTCACAAAGAAGGGCTGAGAGTAGTTGTACTTGTTCCCATACAGCTGATGATGGACGTCGTGGAAGGCCGAGTTGTTGCTGAAAAACCTCTGCAGGGGATTCCAGGGGAGAAGCAGGCCGCAGTGGTCGTCGACGATCTTGACGGTGGAGAAGCAGAAGAAGTACATGGAGGTCCGAGGGGTCATCCCGGCGACCATGCTGGAGACGAGGCTGCCTGAGATGTCGATGAGGATGCCGTCCAGGGGGTGCCCGTAGGTGGCGCCGAACGCGTAGGGGACGACGAGGCTGTGGTGATGGGAGTGGATCTTGTTGAGGAACTTGTTGGAGTGGATGAAACGGTGCATGAAGTACTGGTAAGTGTCCATGGTCACTGCGGCGACTAGGAACTGGAGCGCCATTGTTGAGAGAGATGGTTCTGGCTTTTTTTCACCCAAACTCATGCTGTCCCTGGCGAGCTGCGATCGAGTAATAATTTATTAGAGGATGGATTAATATTGATCGATCGAAGGTTTGGATAGATACTTTCCCGATCGAGAATGTAACAGCTAGCGCTGTACACATACGTACTATACGTGAAAGTATCCATTTACATATATATATACATGGTCAGATAAGACATAGTACATTCATGCATGCATGCAGTGGGTATCCACAATATTATTGTCTGTATATATATTATCATATATTTCTATCTCCCTTATCCCCCATTGAATGTTTTTTGCATCCGTAAAATTGCATGCATAATTTTTTAGGCCGTTTGGACATTCTCTCTGAACTAGTGAGTCGTCGATTTTCATTTTTTTAGAAGAAGGGAGTACCTTTCAGAAAAAGGGGAAAAAAATTCTATGAATATATTTTGGGAGGTTATAATTAATATTTCCTAACTAAAAAACTGAAATGGATTCTTTTTAAACTAAACTTCTTCTTCTTCTTCTTCCAAATATGCATGTTTTGGATATTCTTGCACTTATTTACTTCATATGACTTTTATGTTATTTTCTCCTATCTCCTATTGTCATTAATTTTTAGGCCGTTTTTATCCAAAATTTTAACAGGGTTAGTAACGGTTTCCAATAGTTTATGATAAAATTTTCTTTACAGTAAAAACACGTTTGTTAATTATAGTTTCATGTAAATTACCCTTCAAATTAAGTTTGTGGTAGTTACGTGAAATCTATCGTGAATTAAAAAGCATAGATATACGAGAGAATCTTCTGACAACGATATCTATACACATTATTCTCAAACACTAGAAATCTAATTCTGTAAATTAATGTTGCATGTGCATATATTGATTCATGATATATATATATATATACCATGACAAATACGAAGGATGCTGCTATCTGCATTGCTTGCAGCGTGAGGACGCCCTTGATGACCGTGCTCCTCGATGGTACGTTCTTATTTTCATCTCCCTTTGGATGCAGCCTGTACTTTTCCATGTCGCCCAGCATCGCGTACATACCCGAATACACCCAGTATACGATGTTGGGTGCGAACATGAGCAATAGCTCGTCTGTCATTCGAGAGCCCATCTGCTCTAGATCTTCTGATGAAAAAGAAAAACAAAAAGATAATTTTATTAGAGCATTAATTACACACACATGTATATATAAAAGCTAATTTATAAGTAGAAAGTAACGCTTCAAAATAAAGCTAGTGAAAGGGAACTAACGAGAATTGAAGGCTGATGATCAATTTAGAAGGAGCAATGAACTTATGACGCTAATCGATCTCTGAATAGAAACTAACACTTCAAATCGCAATGACAATATTTGGGCACTCGATGGCTGTATATATATGTAGCGAGATCTTGGGGGCATGAGCCGCCAAAGGAGACACTGATTAATTATAATATTAATCAAAATTAAGATCCAATAGTCTCGGTTCTTTGCTTGTTTCTTCGTTTTTATTTGAACGTAACGAAGACTGCAAAGGTCAGCAGTAAAGCAACTTGTTAATTATGAACTAACTAATTAATTATGATCACACGCATCGACTAGAAATTAAGTTTATGCATGCGTGATAAGGATTTTGTAATTAATATCCTTCACAAAATCAAATTTCAAAGGTCCATGCAACCTGACAATTGATTTTTCTCGTTGGACGAAAGCCATCAGGTGCAAATCAATTCAAATTCTGACTGTTGCCTTATTCTTCCTTTGACTTGGTTTTCCCTTCACGTGGTTGTATGACTTTTCCCTCATCTAAGTGGTATGATATTTTTACTTGTAAAATAGATAACAGCTCGCTTAGTTAGAATATTAATTTGTAGACCATTCAACGTATTCCAAAATTGACGTAGATAGCTATATATGAATTAATTTGCCCATA